ACGACTTGGTACCGGTTGCAAGAAGCGTTTCGGCACAGGGAGAGCCGCGGGAGCTGGGCTCGAAGCCGTTATCCCGGGTTTATCTGCCGCAGGTCCGGCTGTTCCGCCTTCCCAAAGCGGCCTGCTCCTGCCCAAAAGCGATAAACTGAGGCTCAACTGCACGGCAAAAGTCATGCATCCGTGTGTTATAAGCCCGGGAGCATCTCCCAGAGGAACCCAGCCACACGGACAGAGGAACAGCCCCAAAGCAGCGCTCCAAGCTTCCGACCCCACGCAACTCTCCATCCCAGGTGAAATCCAGCTGAACTTCTCTCTCACTAGAGATTTGTTTAGTTTTTAAACCCTTTTTTTCCAGAAACCTCCCCGTTTCCGGAAAATTGGGCCGGGTATCGTTTCTCCCAGCCATGAGCCGCGGAAGCTCCCTGCCTGAAAAAGGGTCTCGCGCATCATTCCGAGGGCTTTGGTATCTGGAGGGATGCCAGGAGAAGGGCAGTTTGCGATGCAGAAGGCTGAGGAATTCAGTATTTTCTGGCTTGTTTTAAGGCTATATATTTTGGTGCACCTCAGGAAAGACCTGTGAGGGCCAGGGGGTAAGAAAACATTCCTTCGTGTGAGAACGGATGTTGCCTCTTCGGAGTAGCATATCCAGCAGCAACCGAAAAAGCCGGCTCTTGAGGTTTATATTGGAATAAAGGGGTTTGGTCAGTGTTAGCCAAGACAAAAACGAAGGGATTTTAAGTCTTTAGGTGAGCCTTCCACCCTACCGCCTGTTTTTCCTCCTCAATTCACTGGTCTCTAAATCAGCTGCCAACAGCTTAAATCCCTGGGATTCAGCAGAGTTTGGTTTGCCTTTCCAGCTGGATGGGCCAGGAAGGAAAGCTACCCCTAAACCAAAAAAAAAAAAATGGGAAGAGATTGATTACCTCTTGTTCTAGAGTTAAAAAAAAACCCAAAACCAAACAAGTGTCCTGAATGTAACTCAAAAAAATATAATGTGAAACCCAGTTCAATAGAATATAATTATATATAATTCTATATATCATTATATATAGAATCATGGAACAGTTTGGGTTGGAAGGGACCTTAAAGATCATCCAGTTCCAACCCCCCTGCCATGGGCAGGGACACCTTCCATAGCCCAGGGTGCTCCCAGCCTCATCCAGCCTGGCCTTGGACACTCCCAGGGATGGGGCATCCACATATTATATAAAATTCAAGGTATCATATCTTATAGACTATAATTCAATACGCTATATCATATATAATAATTCAACATATCACATATTACGTATTATGTAATTCATAGAATCACTGGGTTGGAAAAGACCTCAGAGCTCATCCAGTCCAACCGTATCTGTCCACCACTAAACCATATCTCTCAGCACCTCATCCACCCGTCTCTTAAACACATCCAGGGATGGTGACTCCACCACCTCCCTGGGCAGCCTGTTCCAGTGCGTGATAACCCTTTCGGTGAAGAACTTCTTCCTTACATCCAATCTAAACCTCCCCTGGCGCAGCTTGAGTCCATTCCCCCTTGTCCGATCATCTGTCATTAGGGAGAAGAGACCAACACCCACTTCTCCACAACCTCCTTTCAGGGAGTTGTAGGCAGTGATCAGGACTCCTCTCAGCCTCCTCTTCTCAAGGCTAAACAATTCAATACATTATTATATATATTTCAATACTATAGCTCAATGTATATGATTCTATACATTATGCATAATATGATTCAATTTTTTAAATAGAATTCAAAAAAATCATCCAAAAAATACCATTACTTGAATATAAATTTTAAAATATCATTCTTTTGATATAATTCAGAGATCACTGAGAGTTATCTGCGCTCTTAACATCTCTAACCTCCTTCCATGAGGACAGACCGGCGCCGGCATCACCCCCTAAGTGCCGTTACACGCGTGTATCCTTCAGTGCACGGGTGCGGGTGGAGAAAGGCTCCACCAGAGCCTGAATCTCTACCAGTAAGACAACAGCGATTTATCCTGATTAAGAAGAGGAAAAGGATCATTTATCTGGGCGGGAGCCCGCTCGCAGCATTCCTATGTTTTAGGAAAGAAACTGAGGCTGGTTTATCCTATTAAACTAAGCTGCTTGAGTGTAAAGAGCCCGCTCGCCGGGAGAACAGCGCTTACCCCAAAAACACATCCCGGCACTACCAGGAACGCGTACGTAACCTCACAGAGGTGCCAACCCCCGACACAGCCCCTGTCACATCACATCCAGAGACGGCAGGAATTGCGGCTTTAAGGAATGTGCTGACACTGAAGTAATAAAGCCTCCAAAAGAAGGATTTATGTCCTGAACTGCCTGCCCTGGTTGCATCAGGGGCTAAAGAGGAGCTTTCCCACCAGCTTGTGGAGAAAACCAGCCACTGAAAATAGAATTTAGGTATTAAAACGGCCTAATTTTAGGCCAGGGAGAGCAAAATCCGCCCGCCAGCGGGATAAAGCCTCAGGCTTTGGTCAAGCCGAGGTAGTTGCTCCCAGCCAACTCCTTCCGAGCAAGACACCCAGCACCTCGTGTCTAAACTTGGGCTCTGCAAAGTGGGATTCACCAGCCTTTTCCCCAAACGACCTCAGGCCTTTAGAACTGATTATGCAGATTAGGCACCCTCCGGGTTTTAATAAACTGCCCCTAATTAAAAACTCTCCAGGCGTAAGCCAAATGAAATGGGAGACAGGCGCAGAAAGAGCAGGATGAACACCGCTGGAAAATGGGGAGTATCAGGGAAGAGAAGTTTCTGGGGACGGAAATTTGGGATGAATCCCAGCTGATTCTGCAACAAGAAACAGGCAGCTACCAAGCTGGAGGGTGAGGAAGCACCGTCAGCAGGGAGAGGGATTGAATATTAAACCAACGAGCAAGCAAGATCCAGCGGCACCATGTGAACTCGCGTGTGTTCCCGAGCTCCGTCGGGAAGAGGAGGATGGCAAGGTGGAATTCCAGCCGTCAGAAAGCGACACAGCCCTGAAGCCGAGGGTTCCTCAGCAGAGAGAGAGGCAGGAGCAAACGCCACGGCAGGAGGCACGGCCGAGAGCCGAAGGGGAATATTGCGCGCCACGCTGAAGCCGCGCTCGAGATCCATTGGAACTGAAGTGCAAAGGAGGGCGAGGAGTGGAAACGGCAGAAGGGATGACCTACATTACCCGAAACGAAAAGCCTGGGTGGCTCAAGCATGCAAAACCAGGCTGGTAAAGAGCAGGGCTCTCTAAATCCACCGAGAGGTCAACATCAGGAAGAGACTAAATTTAATTAAGTCATTAAACAACACGAGCGCAAGAAACAGCGGAGAGAAACCGATTCCAGCAGTATTTAGGAAGAAACTGGGTTGCTGCACATCGGGGTGGAGCTGGTCTGAAACAACCTTCACAGCAAATTAGGCAGGAGCCTCCAACGGCGCTTGCTAAAGCTGGCAGAGGGGCCCAAGAGCTTGCCCTGCCGCTAATACCGGCATCTGGCTTCAACCTGGAACGTCTTCCTATTCCCACGTTCCCTGGGATGTTGTCACCTGTCAGGAAAGCACTGGGTGAGCCAAGTCCTCCAACTCCCGCTGCGGCTCCCCGGGAGAGCAAACACACACCCGATGCTCCCCTACAACTTGAGCGGGTTAAGGCTCGTTCGCGGACGCGACGCCCCTCCAGCTTCCCACGGGAGAAAAGCCGCCAAACGGAATATCCAACGTCAGCCAAGTTCAACGGAAATGTTTAGCTTGTATTGTCCCCTCTCCAGTGGGAGCAAAGAGCTCCCCTGTCACATCTCCTTCCAGGGGTCGCATCGCGCAAGGCGTGAACGCCAGCACCGCGTTCAGAGGGAGAGGTCTCTCCGACGCGACCAACCGAAGCAGGAAATTCCTCGCCGGAGACCTATTCGACAATTCCTCGCTATAATTACACCCACCAGGTATGGAAGAGGTCATGGATGCCCGGCTGCCAGGAGCCCAGCGAGTTTTCGCTGCCCTACAACCTTAACGTCCACTAATCTTCAAGGAGCCACCATAAAATAATGAAGCATACGCGGATGTTCCCTCTGGCTTTCCCAGGAAGAGGGGTTTCTGGGGACTAACGCAGACAGGGAGGTGGTGGGGTTGCTAACGGCATTCCCGCCAGCAGAAATGAATTCTCTAACGGCCTTTTCCAAGAACACAAGCAGAGCATTTACAGGAGGTAGGATTTAAACACGACTCCTTCCTCTTCAGACACTGGAGGAACCTCAGTTATCCGCTAGCGGGAAGGCTCCGAAACTCCCGAGCCTAATCTCGTCCTGAGCTACAGCGCCTCGAGGGAAAGCACCCAAACAAAGCCCGGTGACAACGCTGGAGCCCAAATCATGTTATTCAGGTTTCTAAAGCCAAACAGCTTCCAGAATGTCCATGCAGACAAAGCCTGCCTGCTCGCAAGCTCCCAAAATGCCTTTGGAGAGATAAGACGACAACTTGCCCTGCTGAAACCGCGACTCCCACGGATCCAAGCTCACCGACGCCGGCTTGAAACACAGCAGCATCCCACCTCATAACCTCGGACCTGTGGAAAGTGCCGTGCCGGCCTGCCGACGAGCGTCACGCCAAGAGGTGGCTCTACAACGCTTTTATTCATAAAGAAATCAGACCGGGAGAGTGACAGAGAGAACCTGCAGCTCCTGCTTCGATCTCTTCGTCCTGACACCAGTCTCTACTCCCGTGGCACAGCTCTCCGCCCGCATCCTGCTCTACCGCCGCCGCTCACGCCTTCTCAGCCACCCTAACCTGAAGGAGACGATTCCCTAAACAAATTCCCACCTGTGCCAGTTAATTTAACCTCCCCGGGCGGAAGGTGGTGAGCAGATACCACCTGCTGGTCACTGCCTCCACGCTCCGAGTTATTTAGCAAAGATGTTTCCCCTCCCAAGGCTTCCAAACAAGAAAGTCCTTAATTTTAGTGTTGGGTAGGAGCAAGGCAAGAGCCAAAACACTCTCCCTACCTTCCCTCCCCCACAGCCGACGCCGTACGACAGTGGGACTGATTTAAATCGCACCCCAAACCCCCCTAGAATTCCTCATCCCAAGATAAGGAATCTTATTCTAAGATTATTACCTTATCTTATTCCAAGATAAGAAATTTCCTCCTAGGAGGAAAGAGCCAGGAGTAACAGCTGGACTTCAACCCTGCTTAGGCAAACCCCTCACTGCCGAAGAAACCAGACACGGATTCGATTCCAGAGGCGCACGGAAAAATCCAGGCTGCAAAGGCTAACAACGTCCCCTGGCCCTCACCCCTAGACTAGAGCGCTTGGGGAAAAGCCCGAGCCGATCCCCTGAGCAGCCTCGTGCGAGGCTGATCGCCGCCTCCGAGCAACTGGAAATCAAGCAGAGGTTAATTAGAACCTACTCGAAGGTGCTATTAGGGCAAGGAGTCAAATGGCATTAAATTAAAAAAAAAAATGTTAAAAGAACATTTGGTTTAGCTTTAAATAATTTTATTTTTAATATAAAAATACACATTTACAAAGAAAATACAAACAAACCGCTGAAATAACATTACAAAAGAAAAAAAAAAACACACACAGGGGGAGAGACACGGGCTGGGACCTATCCTTAATCACAACAGAATTGTTCCTCCAAGTGGCTGCGCCACAGGCAAGTCCACGTTCAAACCACCTGGCTTAAAAACTCGACTTTAGCCAGTTCACGACACACTGAACCCCTGCAATTCCAGCCCTAAAATGCCTTTTTCCCCTTCAACAGTATCATATCCTCTCCCTCTCTCCTGCATTTACTTGCCATTTATAAGCTCCAGTGCCTCATCTTTGGTCCGCGTGATCTTTTCCTGCCTCCACGACGAGGGTCTTCTGGACTGGTTGTGTTTCACCAAGAGGTGCGAACATCGCACTTTGCTTGGCTCCCCTTGGCCGTTCTTCCCGCTGCCGCTGGGCCGTTCCCACTGGCTGGCATTCGTGATGTGGTTGAAGTAATAAACACGGCCTGCGGGTAGAGAGAGGGGGGGCTGGTGTTAAAAAAGCTCCTGGCAGACCCCAGAAACCAGCTCCCCCGAGACCCCGGGAACGGCTCCCCCTGGGAACTGGGGCCCTGAGAACCAGCTCCCTACGGGGCCCCATGGGCACAGACACTACATTCCTGCGAGTGCTCGGCCACATCCACCCCATCAGCTCAAACACACGAGGCAGGAAACAAGACTTTACAACCCCACGTAATTTCCTACGCAAACCTTTCCGTCGGGAAGCGCCTTTACTCAAAGGACACAGGCCCTGCGCAGAGCAGGCTCCGGCTGGCTTCCCAATTCACGAGGGTCTCGCACACCAGCCACCAACCATGAACACCCTGCGCGGTGGAGAGGATGGAGGGTGCCACGGAGAGGGCGGAGGGTGCCAGGTTTCTGGCCTGGAGAGGTGACTGCGTTTCCCTCTGGCCCTACTCGCAGGCGTAAAGCAGCGTAAAGCCTCTCCGTTAAGCACATCCCGCAGCAAACGTGGCGAGTGACTGCTAGCAAAGCTCACATCTTTGTATTTCACGGACCTTTCCTTCCCAAAATCCCCTTTTTTCTACCAAAAACCGAGACTTTCCTGCACAAGAGATCCATGATTTCCCCAGGAAGCAGAAAAACGAGGCTCCTGTGAAGCCACCTCTCGACACACCCAGCATCAGAGCCAGGTAATTCCGCCGCTCAAAGGCCTTCGGGAGCCGGGCGCCCACCTTCCCGCGATAACTGACAGCATCAGTCGAGACGATTTCTGCTTTTCCAGCGAATCACTCAGCCCGAAGCTCTCCACCCAAGCTAGAAGCAGACTAGACTCGGGACAAAAGCTAAGCAAACCAAGGTGAGGGATTGTCACAGCAGAGCTGTGCGGCGGGGAGCTACGTCCAAAGGGGTTCAAGCTCCCGGGTGCAATCCCAAAAAACAGCCTCCACCCAAGTCCTGCCAGCCACGAAGGTCCCTCTCTCCAGGACGCTTCAACCCGGCTGATTTTGGCAAAAAAAAAAAGGGTTCGCACGGACCCCTCTTCCCTCTCAGCCTCGTGGCCTCCACTCAAACAAGCGAGCTGAGCAGCCAAGCTGAAGAACGCGATTTCCTTGGAGCTGCTTTTGGGCTGCTACACGTGGAAAACTGACCGCAAAATGCAAACCCCCGCTAAAAGCACCGTCCCGATCCCCAGCCTCCCGC